TGTCTTCTATTCTTTTAACAAAAAAAATCTGCCTGCTTCTTAAACACTTTTTTTTAAAACTGAATAATACCATACAGAAGAGTGAACAAATTGGTACAGATAAAATGTATTGTCACAAAGTGCACACACCCATGTCATCATCCCCCAGGTCAAGAAAGGGAACATGACCAGCATTTCAGAAGCCCCCCTCTAACACCCCCACCCAAAGGTAACTGTTATCTTCACTATCATCATACATGAGTTTTGCCTTTTTGAAATTTCTAAAAATGGAACCACTCAGTATGTAATAGTTACGCCTTGCTTCTTTGACTTAAGATTTTTGAAAGATTCACTCATGTTGTTGCATGTAGCTGTAATTGGTGAATTGCCATTTCTGTGTAGGTTTCAAGTACTGCAATTTATTTATCCATTTTATGGTTGATGGACATGTGGGTTGTTTCCAGTGTTGGCTACTAGAAATAATGCTGCCATAAACATTTTTGTCTTCTGGTGCATATGTGCATGGATTTCTGATGTATATATACCTATGAGTAGAATTGCACTGTCATAGGGCACATGTGGATTCAACTTTAGTAGATAACAGTACACTGTTTTTAAAGTATACCAATTTACATTCTCACCAATAACGCGTGAGAGTTTCAATTGTTCCACATCCTTGCCAACACCTGGAACTGTCAATCATCTTAATGTTAGCCATTGTGGGTATGTAGTGTATTGCAATGTGGTTTTAATTTGCATTTCCATGATGAATAAAGGAAGTCAAATGTCTTCTCATTTGTTTGTTGGACACTGGATATCCTTTTGTGAAATTCTATTTTTTTTTTTTTTTGCTTGGGGAAGGTTGGCCCTGAGCTAACATCTGTGCCAATCTTCCTCTATTTTTTTGTAGGTGAGTTGCCGCCACAGCATGGCTGGTGAGTGGAGCAGGTCTCTGCGGGATCGGAACCCGCGAACCCTGGGCCGCCAAAGCGGAGTGCACGGAACTTTAACCACTCGGCCCCAGGCCCGGGCCCCTGAAATTCTTAAGTTTCTTGTCCATTTTTCTTTTGTGTTGTCTTTTTCTCATCGATTTCTAGGAGTTCTTTCATATTTTGGCCATGAGTTCTTTTCAGATACATGTATTATTATTCTTCCATATCATGGTTTGCCTTTTTAGTCATTGATGGTCTTTTTTTAGTAGAAGGTCTTAATTTAAATGTAGCCATCACTCTTGAGTTCCTTCTTCTCTTGGGTCTTGGCCCTATTTACTGCCTTGTGGTTCTCCAATGTCTTTAAATAGATTTAAAAGAATAGTTTCTCCAGCTTTTCTAGATGATCCCAATGGAAGAATTGGGCAGAACTCCCTCAGGCAATCACCATTAATTTGCCTAGTTCTTTCCTCTGGCATTTCCACGTTTCTAAACATACACTCAGAATGCTATTTCTTGATTTAACATTCTAGACATTTTATATTGATTTTATATTGTGGTAGATGAACATGTAAGCAACATGAAACATGTAACTCTTGTCCTCCATATTCTCCTATCCTCCCAATAGAGTTATTTCATAATTTCAAACCTTCAACCACAGTTACATTATTTCAAGACTATCTAAAATATTATTCACTACAGATTCATGTGGTTGACAAGAAATTTTCAAAGGCAGTTGTATTTGGGGTGATGAGTAGGATTCTCTTGGAAGTCTTCAGCAGCTCCAAACAATATTCTAGATTTTCCAGAAAAGTCTCAATTTCAAACACAGAAAGCTCTTGCCATTCTTGAATTGTTGTAGTTCCTCCTATTTAGGAGTGACCCTGAAGGGCCATACTGTACGGAATTTTTCCGTTCACTGAGGCCTGACTTTGAATTGCTGCGAAGTGGAATGTAAGAGCAGTTGCTTAGCAAGGAGCATGCCAGCTGACCACCTAGGACCCACATCTCAACATGGCGCTGCCTGTCTTTTCTCTTGCCACCTATGCGGCAACTCTTGTGAAGTGAGACTTGGAAAAACGGTCTCAAAAAGAATTCCAACTGCTGAGCCTGGTGATAGAAAAGAAGACAAAAATGAAAAGAATTTAAGAAAGTTTTGGGTCTTTGCTGGAAAAGAGTTTTGGAATAAATTAAGAGTGGCACATCGAATTCAACAGTGGCTGGGATATATGATGTGAACAGGTCCACCATAAAGTCTGTACGGAAATGTCAAAAGGTGCTTTTTAAACGTGTTTCATTAGGAGAATTACCTGCTATTTGTGTTTTAAGATAAGGGGATTAGAAAAGGCTGTGAAACAGACTCCTTTCATATGTCAGGTTATCTGTGTTCCAACGTATTGTTCCTCAAAATACACTTACATTGGTCATTTTACACGTCCCAGGTCTGGTTTGGTCATGGTGATGGTCCCCCAAAGCGTGGGGGTACCTGGTATAGCACCACTTCCCCGAGCCCCTAGCCAGGACTAGGGATCTCCTGTCCTCAGGAGTCCTGTGTGTACAGGAGGTTCTGATGGGGAGACTTTGTCAGTGTTATGGCTGCTCCTGCTCCAGCATCCTGGGGATAACCATGGCTGATAAGCAGGTGGGACAGGAAAGACTGCGCTGAGATAAAGTGGCCTTTCTACAGTCTTCTTGAACTGTGGTTGTAGTTGTTACTGGCAGCAACACTTTGTTGCTGTTGTTTTGTTTTACTGTATTTCTTAGTATAAGGTTCAAGAGGAACTTCTTCACCCGTTTTCCTTCCCCACTCCTCCATCTTCCATCCCTGTATCCCTCCATCCCTCTATCCGTCCATTCTAGCCTGACTCCTGGTTGCTAGTCTAGGCTGTGACCGTCCCTCTACCCAAGAGCTCCACACTATGCCCCATCGTTTGACACGATGTTCAGTGGGTTTCTTAGAGCTTGTGGTCTCCCGCCCCTTCAGCTCACCATTCAGCACCTGTGTGGATATCCCACTCTCACTGGCTCCTGCCCTGCTCCCCCCAGGAGCATCTAATAGCAGCAGGCATTGACGCTAGGGAGGCTGGGCTTTGCAATGCACCTCATCCGTTCACCAGGCATATATTAAGCACATACTACGGGCCAGGCACCTTACCGGGCTTAGGTTACGAAGATGAACAAGGTCCCTGCCATCAGGGGCTCACAGTCTAGGTAGTCTGCGACACACCCATACACACACTGGCACGACACACTGTTACGGATCAGTGACAGAAATCTGTGGGGTCACAAGGAATGGGCGGTTGTGCTAGGAAATTCACCAGGCAGACAGGGGTGGGGATGGGGAGAAGAAATTCCAGGGGGAGGAAGAAGCATGGACACGTGCAGGTGGGAAACTCTTTTGTGGTCCCGAAACCATATGTGATCTGTTATGGCCAGTGAGACCAGGACACAGAAGAAAGGCCTTTCCTCATGGAGCTTATAGTCCAGAGGGGTGGGCAGCCAGACAGGCTCACAACTCTCTAAGGAGGCAGGAAGTAGTAAGTGCTTGTTTTAAAAGAATAGATAAAGTGCCAAGAGTTTGCACAAAAGGGAGACAGGACTTTGGGTTGGAGGCATCCCAGGGAGCTTGGTGGGCTGGATTTTAAAGAACATGTAGGATGGATGTGCAGAGATGGGAGAACATTCCAGAAGGAAGGGGTAGAGTGGAGTGTGTGTGTGCTGTGCATAAGAACAATGCTAATGGGCACAGGCATTGTTGCAAAGAATAAAGAACAATGGGGGCAAGGCAAGCTCAGTCTCATGGATCAGAGGGGGCCCAAAGAAGCTGGGATGAGAACAGCAGTGTGTGTGTGTGTGTTCTGGAGGAATTAGGATTGGGGGGCACAGTGAGGGGAAGGGAGGGACATTTTGGAGTGCTGAGTCCCAGGCCTAGGTGCAAGCCTACCCCCGCAGCAGCTGACCTGGGGCTGTGTTGGATTTGGAGAGCTCATATGGGAAGCCATGGGGTAATTTGGGCACACCTTCCTTGGTCTAAATATTCTTAACACTTTTGCAGCAAAACATTTCTATATTAAAATAAACAAGAAAAAAAATGAAACAATGCAAAATACATATAGATTTATTTTAAGATAAAAAAAATACAACTTCAAAGAAACTTTGACTGCCTCCAGAAGACCCCTCAGTGTGTATACCCTCTCGAGGCCATTTGGGCAACTAAGAAGCCCTGATATCCTTGGCCAATTTAATTTTCCTGGCAACTCTATGAGGTAGATATTATCATGCCCACAGATAAGAACACTGAGGCCCAGCAAGGGTGTGTAACATGCTTGAGATTACACAGCTAATGAGCAGCAGAATTAGCACTCAAACCAGGATCTGTGTCCAAAATCCAAGTTCTTTCTGCAACAGCCTGAGTGGGTGATAAATGAGATGGGGGAGGAAATAAAGCTGGGATAGGTTGGTGCTAAATCATGGAAGTTCTTGAGTGCCAGGCTGAAATAAAGGCTGCATGCAAAAAAGAATGTTTGTGACCCACTAGGGTTAGATCTGGAAGGTAAGCGTAGGAAGAGTGGTAATGAGCACAAGAGATCTAGTTATTCTCATCCTGGCTTCTTTGGGGCCACCTCTCATCCCTGAGACCGAGCGTGACCTGCACCCAGCAATGGCACCATTCCCATGGCCAAAGAAGGAAATACCACCTCTTTATCTGTTTGTTTTCTACTTAATGTTGTTCTGCAGAGCGCAGGAGCACTCAGAATCATTGGCCAGCCCCTTCTGAAACTGACGCTGGAGAAAGGGTGTCAACCATCCGTAACTTCTCTCAAGGTGCCCTTCCCATGACTATGATAGATTCTGTAGTCAACGGGAGAGAACAATATTATTGGGTCTGAAAAGAAATCAATGGATAGTGGGAACCTGTGGGGGCAGTTGCAATTTTCCAGATCTATTACTTTCCACTTGGAGGTCAGTGAGACAAAACATTGCGTTGTTATGAAAATCGAGAGATTTATATTGTTTTCATAGTAGGAAAAACTCCCTCCAAAAACCTCAAAATGGTAACTTTAATGCAAACACAAAGTGAAGAGCTATTTGTGGCTTGAGATAAGTTGAAACTGCTCCTTTGACTAGGAGATGGTTGCTAGAGCTTCCAAAGGAATGTTATTGTCTTTCTTTGTGCCCTTTTCTTTCTTTAGTATGTGTTGAGAGAGTTTATTGAGAAACCAGCCAACATCCTGGAGATCCTCAGGCCACCTCAAGTACTGCTGGGTCTGTACGAAGCCTCTGATGGACTGATGCTTCATCAGCTGGTACTGGGACAGGGACCCCACCACCACCATGATGAGAGCACTGTTGAGGTCAGATAAGCACCTGCTCTGGGCATAACTGAAGGCTTCGAGGCACCACCCGTCTCCTAGGAAGTGTCTGCTCACAAGGCAGACAACCTTTCTGCTGCTCCACACGGCATCCTGGATGTTGGTGATGTGATTTTCTCCTGGCACAAAGTCTCTTTCTTCAAAGCACAGCTTAAATCTGTTTTGGTCGCTGTACTGAGCATCCAGGTGTGTAAGCAAAGCATTCTGCACCCATTCAAAGTCTTTGCTACTGAAGCACAAATAGGCATCGTATTTGTATGTGTCTGTTTCTCTGCCCCTGGTACGGTCCTTGAACACCAGTCTCTGGGCTGTCATATAACAGGTGAAACAAGACCCCCGGAACTTCGTGACTATGAGGACGGTCATGAGAAACAGAGTCAAAGTGACAGTGAATAAAAGGAACAGGGAAAAATTGAGAGACTTGAAGAATTCCTCTTCATCACAACCCTCCGTGGAAACAGAGTAGAGGGAAGCGCCAGAGAATGAGTCGGGGTACATGCAGTATATGTCTGCATGAGACCCAAATATAGTGACATTGGTTTGATTGAGCCAATTGATGAAGGCACTAAGCTCACACTCACAAATGAACTTGTTATGAGTTATGTCCAAGGCACTAAGTGATGCGAATAAATCAGGATCAGGAGACAGGAGCTGGTTTCTGGATATATCCAGGACCTCTAAATTAGCAGGTAAGTCTCCAGGAGAAAGAGCCGTCAGCCTATTGGAGTTGAGGCTGAGTCCCCTTAATGCAGTCAGATCACTAAATACTCCTGGTGGAAGGAAATTCAGGTAGTTATTATTCAAATACAAGACTTGTAGATGGAAAAGCCCCTTAAAAACATCCCAACAGAACCCTCCTTCCCAGGCAAGTTGCAACATATTTTCTCCAAGGAAAAGCTGTTCTAAGCTGAGATTCTTTGAAGGGGCATGACCTTTGTTACAAGTAGAAAAGCGATTTTGATTTAAAATGAGAATTTGGAGATGAGGTACCTGGAGGAGGAAGTATAGATAATCTAGATTTTCTAGCCTGTTCTCTGATAAATGGATGAAGTTGGCTGTAAGTTGTATGTTTGGCAAAGTCACCAGTTTATTGCCACCCAAGAAGATATTAGGTATGTTCGGAATAAAATTAATTGTTTTAAGAGCATTATCCCGAAGATCTAAGGTCTCTAATTTTTCCAGGAATCTGAATGTTTCGGCCTGAATGATTCCAATGTGATTCTTTTGCAGATCGACATAGGCCACCTTAGGTAGTCCATCAAAATTAGAATTATAAAGTTCCCCCAGAAGGTTATATGACATATTGAGAATTTGGAGGTTGTCAAGTCCATAAAATGCTCCATCTGTAATCTTGTTTATCTTGTTGTAGGCAAGGTTCAGAACCTTTAACTCCTTGAGGGTCTCAAAGAGTCGGAAGTTCAAGGAGAAAATAAACCCATGTGAAAGGTCCAGGCGTATCACCGAGCTTCTGGCCAGGCCAGCAAATGTGTTCCGGTCAGGATCTTTGATGTTATGGAAGCCAAACCCAGAACCCATAATGTGGTAGGCAAGAACGAGAGAGAAAATCTGGCTTCCATTGATGGCACTGCTAAAGTTTCCTGTGACATCCACGGTCCAGCCATTGCCAGAAACATCCAGGGTTTCCAGGACCATGTTTCTGAATGGGTTCATACACTTTTTCCAGTCCACTGAGACCCTGCTGTACAGGTTATTTTTAGCAAGGCTTAAAAAGGAGAGTGTTTTCCCTTGGAGGGGCTCGAGCCCATGCTCACATACAATGGGTATTTGGTTGAGGGAAAAATCGATGGACTTCAGGGAATTCAAGTCCTGGAATGAAGGATGAAGGTAGAGACCACGAATCTGATTTATGGATAGGTCTAAGCGAGTTAAAGACTCTAAATTTCTGAAATAACCATCTTTCAATACAGCATCGGAGAGACCACAGGAAAAGAGTCTAAGTTCAAACAGATGGGGCAGCCCCTGAAAAGCATCTGGATGCAAGAAGTCTATCTGATTTTTGCCCAGGTCCAAGATTCGAAGATTGGGCAGGTTTCTGAAGGCTTCTTTGTCAATCGTCAAGGGGGTAAACTGAGTCCCAAGCTCCAGAAGCTGCAGCTGCTCCAGGAAGGGGAATGACGTGGTTGTGACTGTTTTGATATAGTTGAAGCTCAGTAGGAGGTTCTTGGTGGTGCTGAGGACCTGGGGGACCTGAGTGAGGTTGCAGAAACGATATAAGGCCACCTGGCCATCCGAGGAGCAGGAAGGAATTCCAAGCACAGGACTGGCCATGAGCACCACGCCTAAGAGAAGGTCAAGGTGATCTCCCATGATCCTGTGGAGAAGAAGAATGAAAATACAGACATCTAAGCTCAAGGCATTGCACATGGCTCCTGAGAATTTGGGGGATTCCTCTATGATGCGCCTGCTCCCTTAGTCCCTTTGTTCCTCTGGCTCCATGGACGTGGCTGTTGCTATATTGCCCGGTGTAGACAGAGCTGGTCTCACTCTCTTTCTATAAAACACTACATTGCATTTTCCACATGCTAGGCACTATCCTAGGTACTTTAGAAATATTTCACTTAATCTTTATAATAACTCTGTTTGTTCATTTACTAGTTCATGCATTCACTCATTCAAGATTTGCTGAGGGAAGTTAGAGAAAACAGCAGGATGAGACATTTTTGTTTCACATCAGCCAGGGACCCCATTCCTCACCCTCAGAAGGCTCAGCTGATGAGTGGAAAATAAATCCATTGATTTCTTTCCCCCCTGTAACCTGTCAAGGATGCTCGTCCATCTCCATCCATCTATCCTTACTCCATGCATAGTACATCTCATCATACAAAAATTGGGTACTTTACATAGTTTTCCACAAAAAGTCAGAATTTGGCCAGTTTAATTCAAATGTATTAAGCACCTACCGTATGCCTGGCACTTGGGTGACTGCAGGAGTGCACAAGAATAAACAGAAACAGTCCACTTGCTTACGTCCAATAGGGGAGTTCACCGTCTGTCTGCATTGACCATTTGCTTCACATGTGTAGCAGCAAAAAACACTCAATAAATGTGTCTGGCTTATGTTCCAAGTACTGTGCTGGGTGCTGCGAGAGGTACAGAGAAAACACACAAGGACCCCACCCTCAGAGAGCTTAGTGTCAAACCACTGGCATAGCACCTCCATCTTTGGTGCCTGCGATGTATTCAACTTGCTCGAACTATGACCTCAGAAGGCGTCTGTTGGAAGAAGGTAAGGAAAGAGTCACATGGCTCAGAAGGCAGGAGAATGAGTGGAAAAGAAAAGAAATTGGAAGAAAGCACTGGTTTATAAAGAGCTTTAATCCCATGAAACACCATCACTGGCAAGTTTCAACATCAGGGTAGATCGAGCATGGAGCCGTCATGGCGCTAAGGTAGGGCACGGGCCCTGGACCACCAGCTCGGAAGAGGTTTTGCTTTCTGTTGGGGCTGATTTGTGAGGGGCTTCCATAGAAACTTTGAAGCCATTACACACAAATTACAGCAAATCAGTAGACATCTACTCCTGAGTTGACCCTAAGTATCCAAACTAGATATTTAATAATTAGGAAAAACTCGGTGAGAATGTTTATCCTAGCTCCTAATTTCTCCACCATTTCCTCCCAGAGGCTCAGGATAACAACAGCAGAGTCACCCTTGTTCCCTTGAACATCACCCCCACGTCCTCTCCATCAGCAAGTCCTGTTGGTCCCACCTCCCAAGACTACTCCATTCCAAGTCGCCACCATCTCTCCTCTGGGCTAGTCTGGAGACTCCTCACTGGTCTCTCTCATTTCTGGTCTCGCTCTCCATTCTCCACATAGAAGTTAGGGAATTCTTTTAAAAACACAGTTCAGCTCCTCTCTGCACAGAACGCTTCCTGCCTTCCCACAGCTCTCGGAATAAAATCCTGCAAGGATTTACATGATCTGGCTCTTGTCTGTCTCTTAGACATCATCTTGAACCATTTTCCTCCTCAATAACTTAGTCAACAAATATTTGCTGGGCATATACTCTGTGTTGGGCCCTGTTTGAGGAGCAGGAGATTCAGCAGTGAACAAGATAGACCAAGCCTGCCCTCACAGAGCTTATGTTCTAGTGTAGGGAAGAGGCAACAGACAACAAAAGAAGAAGAGGTACTATCAGGAGGAATGTAAAGCAGGAAAATGGAGACAGGGAGTGCCAGAGCTGGGGTGGCTGATATTTATAGAGTGGTCAGGAGAGGCCTCTCTGATGTAATGTTATTTGAGCAGAGACCTGAAGGAAGGAAGGAAGGGATATGGAGAGGCCAAATATTTGAGGTAGAGGGAACAGCCAGTACCATTGCCCTGAGGTGGCAGTTCCTCCATGTGGGGCTCCTGTCTGCTGTTCCAAACTCTTTCCAACCTTAGGACCTTGGCACATGCTGCTTCCTCTACATGAACTCTTTTCTCTCTGCTCCTCATATAGTTGGATCTGACATCAACATTTTTTCAGAGAGCCTTCCACTACACCCACTATTTGAAATAGCTCCTCGGCCCCATTACTCTCTTCGAAAACACCCTGTTTATTTCTTTCAAAGCAATTATCACAAATCCTTAATTATCTTGTCTAACTATTTGTTTACTTATTTATTGTCTATCTCTCCTTATTGTTAGTGCAATCAAGTCGATTCTGACTCCTAGCGACCCTGTGTCCAGCAGAGCAGAACCCTGCCTGATCTTTTTGTGTCATCCTCTCCCCTTCCAGCGCTATATCAGACAATGCTCTGCTGCTATTCACAGGGTTTTCATGGCCAATTTTTTCGGAAATGGGTGGCCAGGTCCTTCTTCCTAGTCTGTCTAGTCTGGAAGCTCCACTGAAACCTGTCCACCATGGGTGACCCCGCTGGTATTTGAGATACTGGTGGCACAGCTCTCAGCATCCCAGCAACACACAGCTGCCACAGGATGACAACCGACAGATAGTGGTGTGGTTCCCTGACCGCAAAACAAACCCGGGCCATGGCAGTCAGAGCTGAATCTTAACCACTAGACCACTAAGGCTGGTTATCTCCCCTTACGAGGCTATATTCTCCATAAGTGCAGCACGCATTCAGAAGGATGCTTGGTGCTCAAAAGAAAAAAAAAAAAAAAGAAGAGTATGTTGAATGAATGACACTGCCACCAATGAAACATAAAGGCCTTAGATCTGTTTGAGGAACCTCGCCCCTTTTAAGCAAGAAAATTGCTTTTTTATCTATAAAGCTTTCCATGTAAAACAGCGGCTCTTAATGGGCACAGCTGCCTCTTCACGAGCATTCTATAAATGTGTAGGAATGTTTTGTGGTTGTCACAATGATGGGGTGGGTGTCCCTCCAGTAAGCAGGGACGCTAACATGCATGACTGTCCCATCCCACGCAGAATCGTCCAGCATCCACACAGCTTTAGGATGTCCCGCCAGACGTCACTGAAGATGAAAACCCTGCTCAAAATCACCTCAGAATCTAACTCTCTTTTACATGCCAATAAAACATTTTTTGTATTGCTTTAATATATACCGAATTTTCCAGGAATGCAACCACCTTGTAAATCTAGGAAAGACTGTACCTTGTTTAGTTTGGAACGCTATGAAGAGTTATTCACCATTTCAGAAAATCTCTTCACGATGGCCAATGCCTCCTTGGGGAATCACGAACAATGTAACACACCCTGTCGTCTATGTCACCTTCATGGTGACTGCATTTATGTGTGAGTAGATTTATTTGGCCCTCGTTTCTAAATGCCAAATGTAATTAAAAAAAGTTTAAGAAGTGTCAGTTGAATATTTTAATACTTCTCTTGAATTCAAACTTACTCTATAAATAGATACAAGAGTCTGACTCACATTTCATTTTCTAGTGTAGCTGAACCCAAGCGTGCACATGTTCAAACACACATTAATTCATTATAAATCACTTTCCCTTTTATTTCTTTTTTATATTCCAGTTAGGGCATTATATTGATTTCTTTAAAATTATGTGTGTAGGTAGATTGTATTATATCTATGAATTTCATTTCAAAATAGTAAAAGGGTTATTCAAACATTTGTTATAAAAACAGACACTGGGCCTGACCACACTGCAGCCCACAGATGTAAAGCTTCTAGTTCTTTCTTTCCACATGCACTTACAGGCACCCCGATGACCAAAACCAGACATTCTTTAAGTCCTGTTTATTATTTCTGCCTACACAGTTTGTGATTATTTCTTTTATGGTGGGCCTCGGAGCCAATGGTCTTGTACGTAGAGATGACACAACACTGGTGGGGAGGTTGGCATTTTGAAAAATGGGACCGAAGTTCAAAGTGATCTCAATAAATAAATAGAAGAATTATCAGAAAGAAAATAGAAACCAGTCAGGGCTGATGTGGGCGTTACAGCTCAGAAGAAATCCCCAAAGGCCAACACCGGTCCCTCCTATCTTGAGGTTTGGGACAGATCCTCTAGGGACAGGCTCTGTAACTCCACTGTCCCTGCCATCTTCAATTATACTTTTGTAATGTACATTCTGTGTATTTCCCCAAAGCATTCCACAACATCAAATATAATCATGATGATGAAACTCACTTAAAAAGGGCAGATTGGCACCTTCAAAGAGAGTCGGACATTACAAGGAACGAGATAAGAGGCAGTTACTACAGCGCGCTCTAAATCGGGCTCTGAGTCTCCTGGTGTGCAAACCATTGGACTGTGATTCTAGAAGCTGGTACAGTTCTGGGCGGCACAGATAAACGCACGTGGTAGGAGCATGAGCCCTTATTCGGTAGTCTTGGGGGAAGATTCTAAAGATGTGCTTTGGAGGAGACAAGAAGAAAACTGAGAATGGGCAGTACCAATGGTCAAGGAAAGATCATATTCTAACTGGGTTTTGTGTATCTTACCTTTTAGTGTGAAGCAGACCCTAAATTAACCTGCAAGGACATAAGAACATTAGCATCATGGCTCACACGTGAGGATGCTCCAGTGAGCTGTTGCTCTCTGTCTACACAGCCTAGCAGCAGACCACATACCACAGGAGTTCTTAAATGTTTTGAGGTCATGGACTCCTTTCAGAATCTATGATAGCTCTGCTTCCTTGCCCTCCGTAAATGTAGATTTGCATCACAAACCAAACTTTGCACCCAATTTCAGAGAGTTCACCGACCTCCCGAAGCCTGCCCATTTCAACCTCATGAAATATGAGAACCTTTAGTTTACATATAAGAACCATCATGTTTTATGTTCTAGAACAGGGCTTGGAAAACTCTTTCTGTAAAGGGCCGGATGGTAAATATTTGAGGCTTTGCAGTCCAAATACCACAGTTTGCTGACCTCTGTT